GCAGTTCTTGCGTAGTGACGGTGCGGAGGTGCAGGTCGGGTGAGACCGTCTGCGTTGCGAGGTCAAGGACCTTTTTGTCAAAAGCCTTCAGGCGCTGGAGGTGCGCTCCGTTGCATATTGCGATGGCGTTGCGGAAGACGGTTTGCACGCGTTGCAACCAGGCGGAGCTAAGGCGGAGGTGATCGACAGCCATTTCTGGTGTGTCGTCGAAGAATGCGGTGCTGATGAGATGCGCCTCAGTGCGGATTTGCTTGGTTGCCTTGCTCTGTATGATCTCGTCATACTGCTTTGCGGAAAGCCTGAGCTGGCAGGGCACCCACGTAATGGTGTGCCCTGGTTGAAACCACCTGTGCACGAGGCTGAGCAAACGAATGCTTGGCATGGCATCGCTATCAAGGTGCTCTCTGAAGGCTTGCACGAGGCGTTGCACGGCGGCTTGATCGAGGCGAGGCGGTGCATGTTCAGCCCAAGAGTTTGCAGGGCGCAGGTGCAGGAGCTTGCTGGGCTAATGGCGGCTGAAGCGGCGGTGGCGCCGAGATGGCTTTGGCTTGTTGCAAGGCTTTGCGGAGCCTGGCCATGGCTGGAGATATGCGGGGCACTGGCACATCCAGTTCCAGCCATATGTGCGAGAAGTCATCGCCACAGAAGTGATCGAGATCTGCGGCCTCAAAAAAAGCATATGCGAAATCGGAGACCGATTCAATGCCGGTGTTGTGCAGTGCGGTTGCTAGCAGGTCCGGGACTTGGCAAGATTGGAGCAGCTGTGCACGGGCGGTGCCTCCTCGAAAGATAGGTCAGCGGCCATCTGGCGAGAGAGGTGTAAGCTTAAAGTGTTTTAAGAGGTTCGAGCCGAAAGCTGAGCAGGGTGCGGCGGTCAACCTGAAGGCCGCGCAGACAGGCGAAGCATGGCGTAGCGAGCAAGCGAGCCCGGAAGGCGTGGAGCGGGAGCAGGTCGAGGAGCACCAGGTACCTGACAGGATGCAAAGAATTAAATTAAGGTTCGGAACCAAAAAAGGGAGGGGCCCCAAAAGGGGAGCCTCACAGAGGCGTGAGAGAGAGAGAAATGAACGGCGGTCATTTTGCTGCTATGTTACGAAGTCAGCTCTGAGAAGAGGCAAGGCGCAGAGCTACACAGGCTTTGCGGCGGCAGAAAGGGCCCTGCGGGGCCGTGCTGGTAAGCGAACCGAGGCCCAGGCGGGTGCCACACGCGGCACGAAGAGCGAGGTCATCTGCATCTGAGCTAACAAGGCTGTGCCAGCAGGCCCACGGGCCGTTGCATGCGAAAGAGGCTTTGCTTGAGCAGAGAGGCAACGGAGGCTGTCCCACAGAAGAGTCGTCCGAAGCCATGTCGGATGCATTTGAAGAGCTGGGGCTAGGCGGGGCGGTGCGTGCCGCACGCTCCACAAGCATGGCTTCTTCGTCGTCGGAGAACCCTGTGATGGGGTCATCCGTTGAGAATTGCTCAATGGGATCTTCTAGGAGCGAATCAAGGTGCTGCTCAAAAGCTGAAGCGTCCGGGCGGCTTGCGGGGCAGGAGCGTTGCGGAGCAGTTCCTGGGCAGAATAGCGTAGCCATTCCGAGTTTGACGACATTGCAGTGGGGGCAGGGCAGGAAAGGCTGAAGGGTTTACGTCAGGGCTGATATCTCGGCGGGGGAAAGTGCATGAGCTGATTCAAGGCATTGCGTGCTCCTCGGTTTGCTGGAACCAGGCTGCGAAAAGAAGCAATGCAGAAACAGCCAAAGAAACAACCAGCGACCCTGAACTGAAACCAGCAAATGTGCAGTGCGGGCTCTGCCTGAAAGCAGACACGAGGCGAAGTCCTCCAAAGAGCAAGGCGACGCCTGATCAGGGCAAGGCGTGGCGGGGCATGGCTTATGGGGCAAGGTCGGGGCATTAGGTAACGCCAGCAGAAAACCTCAGGCTGGGTGCGGTTGCGAAATGCGACGCTGAGCAGAATGCGTCTGCAGGAGGGAGACACGTCCCAAGATGTGCAGAGGTGCCGGTAAGAAGCGATGCAGAGCTGAGCCAGGCACTGGCAGTCAAAAAAGCAGAGAAAGCTGAGCAAATAGCCTGCCGAGCGAAACTGCGCCACAAAGCCCAACGAGCCACGACAAGCTGGGCGTGAGAAGGCGAGGGCACTGCGGTGCGAGCAGAGGCGTCTGCAGGCTCACAGGGCGAGGCCGTTTGATTTGTCCTTGGCGGCCCATGGCGCGGAGCGTGCGGAGCAAAAGAAGCGAGAAGCCTAGCTGAACAAAGAAGTAAGCTTGAAGAAAAGCTCGCTGACTAAAAAGAGCAAGTGCAAGCAAACTCAAACTGTGTGAAAAGAACTAGCGGAAGCGATCCGGGTCGACAGCTTGAGCTAACACGCAGCGCGGGGCGAAGCAGTGCAAGCTCAAGTACTTACCGAAAACACTGTCGATCAAAACAACAAACTCACGACATACATCGCGCATCTCATGAAGGAATTAGGCCCCGAAAGCCGTCCTCGTTGCAGGTCCTCTTGGCTGACCAGTTGGCGCAGCTACAGAAGCGAAAAGCAAGAAGCGAAGAAGAAGGTGAAGACTTTGAAAAAGCAAGAACGTGCGGCGCTCGCCGCAAAAGCGGGCTGGTGAAAACGGCACGTTTCTAACTGAAAGCCACGTGCAAAAACGCATTGCTGATCTGAACGAGCTTGCACGTGTGAAAGCAGAGCTGGCGGAGCAGCAGGAGGGCCGAAACTGCAGCGTTTTTTTCCTTGACTTGGCACCACAAAAGGCTTTAGGTTTTCGACTTTGTGTGTAAGACAGCCAGAAGGCTGGTTCCCTCCCCCCCCGGGGTTTAACCCAGGTTTGAACCTTAAAGGAGTTCCGTATGTCCGTTCTGTTCGATGCCAATGCGTGTCTTCTTATGGAGGTCTACTTTTGAGATGGCTGGAGCACTTGGTAGACAGACAGAGGTCACTTTGCTGCACTCGAGTGGAAGCAAGCTCCTATGCCAATGCGGCTTCCCAGAGTTAAGGCGGAGGTGCCGGCCTCTTTTGTAGGCCAGCCTCAAATCGCGATTGCTGCCCGCATGATGGAAGGCTTCCATCGTGGACTTCTTCCAGCTAGGCGCGGCGATTGACAAATGTTTTCGTATCCAGGCGTCTGCAAAAGCACTTTTCGCTTCTTGCTTCCGTTAGACGATACCTTCCTGGGTTTGCAAGCACAGCCTGCGCTCTTCCTCCAGTCCGCAGGGCTATTGCATGCCGCATTGTATCGCCGGTTGGAAGCTCAGTGCTGTTGTCGTGTTCTAGTTGTGGCCCTTGAAAATGGACTTCTGCTTTCCAGTACGCCTGTGGCTCTCTGCATGGGACTGCAGAGCCCAAGTTCTAATCCATCGCTTGGTGGCACAAGAGTCCAATCAGGATGCTCTGCCCGACGGTTGCCGTCCACGGTATTGGCTTGGCAACCCTTGGGACAGGACAGCTGGCAAGTGGTGCTCAAACTTTCATGGAGCAGGGTGGAATTGGCCCGGGCATTCAGCTTCCATTCACTTCCGAGGAGCTCATGCCGCATCTTTATGAGCCAGACAAAGACACGCCTCACGCCTCAGTATGGCTTTTACCGCCTCAAGGACTTGTATGCTGAGGGCCAGTGCCAACTCCTGTGCCTTCTGCGGGAATCTCATTTCCCGACCAGCGGCAGCGACATGCAGCGCCTGCTGGATCAATGCCCCTTCGACATCGGAGCGTGCCCATTAAGGAAACTGGACCCAATCGGCCAGTCCCATTGTCCATGACTATCGACATACGTCGGAGTCGAAGGGTCTTCTTCCCTGGCCCTCGCCACTGGTTGTCGGCTCCGTGGACTGGTAGATTTTCCGTGCACGATCGTGACACAACAGGACCTCGGGGCTGACCGTTGTTCGACGGAACTAGAACGGCAGCCGGAGCTTTGACTTGGGCTCCACCGATGGTCTTGGACAGCTCTGGGCGACGGCCCACTGTTGTTGTGGATCGGTCGCTGAGGCCCCGTAGCTTGTGCTGAACGGCCAACACTGCGAAAATTTTCAAATTGCAGGGATGCAAATACTTCGCAGCACCTGCGAGCACAAAAATCAATCGAATCTTCAATCGCGCCGCGTGGCTGCAAATGCTGTAGTGTAGGTGGCACGCTGTCCTGCTAGTGTGCTGGCGCTTCAAGATCTTCTCCCTAGCAAGACGGATTGCCTTTCCCTTCTGTCGCGTCCCCTTTCTTTGCCGGCATGCAAAGTCAAGAGCAGCCGTTAGAACTTCGGCGCGCGAGCAGTTGACTTTGCCAATCGTGCTCTTTTGCGGCACTGCACGGCCAGTAAGGCTTTCCGGGGAGTGTGCCTCTCCCACCCTTGTTGGCAGTTTCCGCAGCGCTGGCCCAGTTCTGCGACCCGGTGCTGCGGTCGAGTCTTTTAAGCCTGCAGAAGTTGGGCTGCTAATACCACTCTTAGAATGACATTGCTGCCATCTTTCGTGCGGCGCCAGCCACGGCTCTATTGTGCGTGCTTGGTCTGCCACACAGTGCGTCACAGACAAATTAGTTTTCCACGTGAAGCGGCGTTCGCGTCTTTGTTGGTGTTCTCTTTCCGCATCAAGAAGCGACAGCAATCCTGTTCACTCGTTGTTCAGACTCATCTTTGTTGCGAGACTTAGAAATCCAGCTTAAGGCTGCAGAACATGCAGCACACATTTTCCAGTTTGTAATTGTGCCGATAGGCTGGCTGGCAGTTTTTTGTTTAAATGGAGCGCTACAGGCTGCAGGCAGAGACAGACCAAAACAGAAATTTAGGCAGAGACATGCAGTGCACCTAAGGTGTGTTAAAAAACGATTGGTTTCCAGTTGTAATTGTGCCAATAGGCTGGCTGTCAGTTCCTTTGAATAGCACGGAGCACTGCAGGCACTGACGCAGAGACCAAACCAACGCCGTCAGATGTGCAAATGCTTGTTCAGATTTGGTCTATGCAGCATTTTTTGTCAAGTTTGCCAATTTTGTTTGCTCTTTCGTCATGGCTCAACTGCTGCGTCGGAAAATTCTGCAATGGCTGCGCGGTGGAGCGAAGCGCGTGTCCATGGGTGCACATGGGCGTGATCGTCGTGTTCGCAACTTCCCCCAGGCCAAATCAAAGTCCAGGTTGCTGAAAAGGCGTTTGCCTGGAGCTCGTGCTGAGGATGTGGAAGCTGTTGCTCCTCTTGTAGCAGCAGGAAGTGGGGCAGGCTCTTCCACAGATCCTGTTCTCCCTGTCCAGAAGCAGCATTTGAAAGCCAAGCAGCGGAAAGACAAAGTGCCGTACACACGTGATCGCAGCCCCAACCAAAAACGGGGACGGCAAGCCACCCTGTCCAGATCGTCTTTGAAAGAGCGATTTTCCTTGGACGGAATCCTCACATCAACTCCCATTGAGATTACCGAAATTGCGATTGATGTTGGCATCTTGAAGAACAAAGCCACTGAGCAGTGTTCCTGTGGACAGACTGCTTGGAAACTTGAGCAGAGACAGCACTACTGCAATTGGAGATGTAAGGCGACATTGACTTGTTTTCCATCAAAGTGGCCTTGCGCAGTCTGTTTGGAAGCTTGTGGATATTTTGTGCTCCATTGTCTTTGTCACCAGACAAATCAGGCCTTGTGCTTGGCATTGACCATCGCTCTACAAGAACACTCTTCGACAACTTCCGAAAGTTTCTCACTCCCAACAATACCTTACATCTTGGAGGATTAGGTTGTGATGTGGAGCTCGACGAGATCAGCTTTCGCAGCAAAACAGTCGGCGAGAGAGTTGTTTGGATCCGGTATTTGGCGATTGCCAGGCGTGGCAGCAGCAAAATCTGGCTAACTCAATTGCCATACCGCATCACCGAAGGCGGCCAAGGCGGCGGTGGCCCAATTAGTTTGGAGGAGCTGAAGTCCGCAATCTTGTTGGAAGATGGTGACAGCAGGATCTGCCACGGCTCAGTTTGCCACACAGATGGGGCGCGAACTTACAAACAGCTCGGAGTCATGGACAGTCCTTTGCTGGACAGGGAAGTCTTGGATGTCGAGTTTTCGGATTTGCACTTGGCCCACACTGCTGTGAAACACAAGCCACCGAGGCCAGAGTTTGCGAAGACGTTTCAGATCACGGTGTGGACTGGCTCTGCTTGGGTTCAGGAAGAAAGACAAGGTGGGACACAGAAGTTAGATGGCTTCTTTGCCAGCTTCCGACGCGAAGTTGGCCGCAGGCCGTTTAACACGGCTGGACCCAGTCTTCAGACAGCCGCCAACATGGAGCAGCACTTGCACGAACGAGTGCGCTGTTTCCAACTTGACTATTGGTTGTCGGGAAGCGACTTGTTCCAGGTCTTCGGAGCTTTGCGGAGTGCAGAGTTGAGTGGTGGAGCATCGTGGGCAACTTTGGCACCCTTTCTGGCAGACCGGGCAAGTGCCAAGAAGGATGAGGGCATCATTGAAACCATTGAGAGTGGCTCCGATGAGTAGTTGCTTGTAGATGTGCCATTGAAACCAATGGTTGCTTCTTTCTGCTTTTGCTTGCGTTAAAGCTTGTGCGGCTGCAGCTGTCATGCAAAAAGATGAGTTTGCATCCGCCAGATAGTCCTGAGAATGAAGGTGTTTAGGTCATGTAGGCAGCGGAGCTGGTTTTGCTTTTTTGGAGGCCTTGGATGTGGCCACTGAAGCAGCCCCAAGCCGGGCCTTGGGTGTGGGTGTAGTGTGGGTTTGGGTGGGTGTGGGTGTGGGTGTGGGGGCGTGGGCGTGGGCGTGGGCGTGGGCGTGGGCGTGGGCGTGGGCGTGGGCGTGGGCGTGGGCGTGGGTGTGGGGTGTGGGTGTGGGTGTGGGTGCGGTGTGGGTTCGGGTGGGTGTGGGGGTGGTGGGTGTGTGGGTGTGGGTGCAGAACTACGTTAGAGATGCGCGGCGCCTTGCACGGCAGCAGTTTCGCTTGGGAGGGAACAGCATATATGCGCGGCGCAGTGCGCGGCAGTGTCAAGGGATGCTGCCGCGCACGGCGCCGCGCCCTTTGGGCGCGGCGCTCTCTTTTTAGTTTAATTAATTTTCTACCGCGCACCCACAGGCACATTGTTGCTGGTAGCTTGGTTTTCACTGACAAGTTCAAGAGTTATGCTTGGATGTTCAAGCCGAACTCGGGCTTTATCCACCGTGGTGTCAACCACAAGCAGAAAGAGTTTTCCAGAAGGCAAACAATCTTTGGGAAGAGGTTGTTGTGTCTACGAACGCTGCCGAAGGGCTTTTTGGCAGGCTTAAGGCCTGGGTGCGCACTAAAGCTGCCAAAAGGGTCAGCAGCAACTCTTACGGTGGCTTGCTTGCTGGAGCGACCATTTCTTCAGCAAGATGCAGCCGGATCCCTCCAAAGCAGCCAGGTATTCGTTTCAAACAATCAAGCTGAAACTTGCTGCATTCTGACCAAGCGCAGCGCCAACAGAGAAGGTCCGTGGTGCACACTTTCACCAAGGGTTTTTCAGTCTCGAAAATGGACCCGTCAAATTGGACTCAATGTGGAAAGGACGTGCAGGAGAAGACGTTGTTCGGCAAAACGATGCGAGAAGACGCCAGCCGCCACCCCAAGCCCTCTCTCTTTGGGAGTGTTCCCCACCACGCTGCGTTGCAGTTGAGAGGATCGTGATTCTAAAATTCTGCGTGTGCCTCGGAGGCCTCATCGGCTCCAAACCGCAACGTAGTGGAGTTTCGACCCTCAACGGAGCACGCACTGCTCCTGGTGATTTCACGGCCCGAAATCTGCTCGCACTTAAGTCGACAGACTGCATGTGGACTCGCTCGCAAAAAAAAACTCTGTTCGACTTCCTCCTCCTCGCAGATTTCGGCCGTGAAATCGTCAGAAGCAGTGCTCGGTTGAGGGTCGAAACTCCACTGCGTTGCAGTAGAGCCGATGAGGCCTCCGAGGCACACGCAGAATTTTAGAATCACGATCCTCTCAACTGCAACGCAGCGTGGGGGGGGGAATACCCAAAGAGAGAGCCTGCTTTTCGTCGCGTTCCGCGCTTGATTGCAGTTCTCGCGTTTTGCGCTCGCTTTCGGTCATGCGTCACGCGCGCTTTTTGCTTGCAGGTTTTCTTGCCGAACACTTGCTTGTTTTCTGTCGTTGCACGTTGCTTGCAGTTGTCGCTTCCTGTCGTCGCGTCGCACGCGTTTTTGCTGCTGCACGCTTTGCTTGCAGTTGTTCGCTTCCTGTCGTCGCGTCACGCGCGCTTTTTTGCTGCACGCTTTGCTTGCAGTTGTTCGCTTCTTCTCGTCGTCACTTAATGCAGTGCGCTTTGCTTGCAGTTGCCGCGTTTTGCTTGCCGTTTTCCTGTTGTCGTTGCTGCACGCTTTGCTTGCAGTTACGCGCTCGCTTCCTGTCGTCGCATCGCGCGCTTTGCTTGCAGTTTTTCTGCCACGCACTTTGTCTTCTCGTTGCTGCACGTTGCTTGCAGTTGACTCACTTTGTGGACAGCAGGATGCTGTGCCCGCCAAGTAGATCCCTTTGCTGATTTGCTTCAACAGATTTTGTTTTGGCAAGAGCAACACCCCAACAGAGAGAAGCACGATCCATCTTCAAAGGATTCGATTCCAGAGAAAGTTGTGCAAGACTTTCTCAGTGTCTGCCAACTGGTGCCTCAACAGCAGCAACCGGCCCAGCAACCCGCACCTGCTCTTCAAGCTGCTGTTGCTCCTGCTCACAGCAGCGAGAGTGAGGTGGAGCTCGTCTGCGTGCGACCCGCAAAGCGGGCTCGTGTCCCAGTCAAAAAGTGGAGACCTTGCTCAAAAACGTTTTGCCTGTGAAGCAGGAAAATGTGAAACAAGAGGTCGTTGTTACAAAAGAAGTCCTTTCCACAGTCAGCAAGAAAGAAGTCACACCTGCAGTCAGTACAATTTTTTGTCCCCAGGGTCTTGAACTGATCCTCAGCCACTGAGCACTTCCACCTCCTCGAAGAAGGTTGGACGAAAGCAAGTCCCCTTGCTGGGTAAGCCTTCTTGGCACCGGTAACAAGCCCTTAGCGGTTAGAACTTGCTGCTTGAGGTTGGAGCTGTGGGGCCCACATGCACTTCCATTGAAAAAATGTTTTCTGCAAGCAACTACAGAAAATCGAGGCCTACAATGCTCTGAAAAGTTTGCAAGCTGCTTTTCTTTGAGTGTTGGGCGCTGGGTAAATTTTGTTGGCACCGGTAGCAAATCTTTGGCGGTTAGGACTTGCTGCTAAAGGTTGGGGCTGTGGGGCGTGGGGTTTCAGGTGAAAGTTAAACAAAATTGCGTTAGCCAGGGCAAAATACCGCGCCGTGGCGTGGGCTTCGGAGCTGCACCTGCACTTCCATTAAAAGATTTGTTTTCTGCAAGCAGCTACAGACAATTCGGGGCCTGCAATGCTTTGAAAAGTTTGGAAGTTGTTTTTGTGTGAATTTGGGGCGCTGGGTAAGCCTTCTTGGCACCGGTAACAAACTCTTAGCGGTTAGAACTTGCTGCTTGAGGTTGGAGCTGTGGGGCCCACATGCACTTCCATTGAAAAAATGTTTTCTGCAAGCAACTACAGAAAATTCGGGGCCTACAATGCTCTGAAAAGTTTGCAAGCTGCTTTTCTTTGAGTGTTGGGCGCTGGGTAAACTTTGTTGGCACCGGTAGCAAATCTTTGGCGGTTAGGACTTGCTGCTAAAGGTTGGGGCTGTGGGGCGTGGGGTTTCAGGTGAAAGTTAAACAAAATTGCGTTAGCCAGGGCAAAATACCGCGCCGTGGCGTGGGCCTCGGAGCTGCACCTGCACTTCCATTTAAAAATTTGTTTCTGCAAGCAGCTACAGAAAATTCGGGGCCTACAATGCTCTGAATTTGGAAGTTGTTTTTGTTTGAATTTGGGGCGCTGGGTAAGCTTTGTTGGCACCGGTAGCAAACTTTTAGCGGTTAGGACTTGCTGCTTGAGGTTGGGGCTGTGGCTTGGGCTCTTGTCAGCCAAGGGCAGATTCCATCTGGAAGCTGCCTCCAGCCAGGGGCTTCTTCCAGCCCCGGGCTTCTTCCAGCCAGGGGCTGTTTCCAGCCAGGGGTTTCATCCAGGCAGAAGTTTTCTCCAGCGAGAGGCTTTGTCCAGTTACAGGCGTTTTCCAGAGCCGGACTTGTCTCCAGCCACCGGCCTGTGAAAATTGGTTGGGGCATTTTCCACCGCCCAGTCTTTTCCAGCGAAGGGTCCTTTCCAGCCCAGGGTTTTTTCCAGCCAGGGGTTGTTTCCAGAGCTGGGCTTATCACCCCCCCTATCCCCCGCCCCCGCCAAATACACCACGAGATTTATCACCATCCCACAGAGAAAGAGGTGGCTGCTGCCCATTCCAGATTTTTTGGTAGCACTGACCTTTGGAGGACCCTACAACCGTTAGCTCAAAACCGTAGATCCTGGGCTCAGTTAGAAGTTTTACGTTAACCAGCTGAAAGGGCTGCTGACGAGTAGTCTCACTTGTGGACTTGCTCTGCGCGACTGAGAGAAAGAGAGAGAGAGAGAGAGAGAGAGAGAGAGAGTAGTTTACAGGGACCGAGTGCTGCTGTCGTAGCCGACGAGGCCCGCCGACGCCAAAAAAAAGCACCGGATGGAGATGCAGCGTATGATCTCCCCCACTTGTGGCGAAAATCATCAGGCAAGCGTTTGGCGACTGCAGCCGTGCCAAGCCCATTGTCGCCGCCAAGAGGGAAGGCCTGTGCAGGCAGCTTATTGGTGCCGCCGTGGGTCCGGCACGGTGAGCGGTGGCATATCTCCGCAGAGCCAGGTATCCAACTCCCGGTGGCGCGACGGCCTCCTCACTAAGGCACTAAGGGTGTACAAGAGACGTATCCGGTTTTCGTTCCAAACTTCCGGAGGTCACGAATGGTTTTCCGCGGCCAGACCTTGATCGCCACATGGAGATCCGGCATGAGCAGCGGTCTGATAAAGATGTCAGAGAGCCCAGGTCCAACTCCATCTTCGTTCAAAAAGTCCTGTCCTTCCTCGCGCCACGTTGCGTGCGCCGGCCATGAGCCGAGGGTGTAGTGGTCCGGGAGATCCCGATAAACCTCGCTCCTCTAGGAGAGAGTGCATGAGTTTGGCCCTGAAGTCCTTCAACTTGTACCAGGCCACCCAAAAGGAAGCGCAGGGGAAAGTGTAAGTCACTGCGTGACGGGCCACGCAGCCAATACACCAGGACCTAGGGTAGCTGCCACCCCCTCAGAGTTGGCACGATTGCGCAAGCGGCTGAGCGCATTTCGGAGCAAGCCCGCCGGCTGGATCTGGAGGGAAGGGGTAGCGCCCAAGCCCATTTTGGAACTTGCAGACTCGAGGCTCGAGGTGCATGTTTAATTTATGGCCTCAGGAGACTTGAAGCGCGCGCAAGTGAACACGCTGCTCAACATGTGGGGTCGAACAATCTGAGCAATTTTGGCTTCGCTTGAGTGGCACCCCTCTGTTGTGTTTTGTTTGAGTTTGTGGTTGTTTCTTCATTTTAGTTTTGTTTCGTGT